TGAGTCTTTATTTGCCATAGTTTAAATTGTGGTTATAATCTGCATGCTCAGAGACCTTTTGTGAATGTAACAAAAGCTAGGAGCTTCACTTCCAGAAAGACGGTCAACCGTCCTATGCAATGGAAGACTCCATTGGCCTAAAGATCAGGCATGGGGAGGAAGCTTTTTCATGGATTCTGGTTCAGAAACTCAATTCTGTATCCTTAGAACTCTGTATATGTGATTAGTGATAAAAACTTTATTTTAAGCTGGACACAATTAGCCCAGGCCTATAGTCCCAGGTACTTAGGAGATCCCTTGAGCCTAGGAGTTCAGAGCCAGCCTGGGCATTGTAGGGAGACCCTATCTCATAAAAACTGTGTATATACTATTTTATAAAATTTTCCAAAAGAAGTATTTGTAATGTCTATGTCTGGCTGTGCCCTCCTTTCTAATACTGGGGGTAGGACCACAAGGCCATTCTACCAGGGAGTTACATTCCCAGATGTTTATTATATTTTTAAGGCAGGGTCTTGCTAGGTTGCCTAGACTGGCATCAAGCTTGCCGTCCTCTTGCCTTAGCTCCTTGAAAGCTGGGGTGCATCTTGGGGCTGGGGGTTTAGCTCAGCGGTATAAGCGCCTGCCTTGCAAGCAGGCAGGCATGAGTTCGATCCCTGGTACCGATAAAAATGAAAAAGACAAAGAAAAAGAAAGCTGGGGTGCATCCTGACTCGAATGCTTGTTTAATATTTAAGAAAGTAGTCATACTTTATTCGAAGATAATGGGGAATTATATCCATGATAGCCTATTGTAAAACATGCCCCAAATAGAATTCACTGAGAAAAAACTACTGAAGTTGTACACTCAGTACCATATTACTATGGCAATATGCATCTATATTTATGTGATCATTGTGATTTAAGAAAGAAATGATTTTAGACTCAGCCACAAATGAATTGGCTTTTGATTCTTAGTAATTTCTCTCTCTCTCTCTCCCTCTCTCTCTTTCCTTTGTTATAGTAAATAGAGAAATAACTGTGACAAAGTACATGTGTATTTAATTGGACTATAGGATTTTCTGGGTTACTTCGGGTGCCCAATAGCAAATATGGATGACATTTAGTGTGGTAAAAAAATTCTTTATGAACTATTTCTCCCAGTAGCTTACCAGTTTCTTAGGTAAATAAACAATTTAATGACACCAGATTTGGTTGTCACCTTGACATTTTGGACCCTGAAAAACACTGAAAGGATGCTTTCAGCCACTGTCATGGGACTTGAGCCTCTGTAGAAGCAGAGAAGAGGAACGAGAGAGTGGGGTAGCCATCTGCCACTTCAGTGTGAAAGGACTCGGTGTTCCACATGGGCTTAGTTATGGCCAAGGCAGGAAAGCCACTCACTGCATTTAGTGTGCGTTTCAGTATTTCCAGATTGCCTTCTCAGAAGTTCCAATTTTTAGAAAACATTCTCATCTCAGAATTCTAAGCGTTCTGCTTCTGTTGCTCTGTGCATCTTACACTCACAAGTCTCAGAAAACGAAGGCCCAGACTGCCTGCTAGCCTTGCTAAGGTCACCTTGATTTCCTTCCAATTGTGCGTCTTGGTAGTGTTTGCCTAAAGTGAAGGAAATGATAGAAAATCTTCACAGTCTTCCAATCTGGAGCCAAACCTGCCTGAGCCTTCTGTCGCCTCCTTTGAAATCTGTTATTTTATGGCTTCTGCAAGCTCTATTTCCTTGGAGGTACTTGAGGCTGCAACTTGCTCAGATAGTTCCGAATATAGATTCAGCCTATCCCATCCTGCTGATAGCCTCACAAAAAATTTGTTTCTTATTGTCTCTTCCTTCATGTATTTAGTACATTTAAAAATCAAAAAGAAAAAACAATAAAAAATTTTGAAATTGTCTGATCAGCATGATTTTTTCCTCTAGATTCTTTAAATTTGTTTCTTGTTTTCATTTTATAGTGCTTCCTAACAAGTTACTACCTGCATTTCCATCTGTCTTGACTGTACCCACTAATTAATCAGTATTTTAATAATATGCATTCAATTAGAGAGGAAATATACAAGCTGAGGCTACCTGTGTACACTTGTAATCCCAGCACTCAGGAAGGTTGAGGCAGGAGATGGCAAGCTCAAGCCCAGCCTGGGAAACTTAATGAAACCATGTCTTAAAGTAAAAGAGGGCTAGAAATATAACTCAGTGCAAAGGACGTGGATTCCAATTCCCAGTGCCATGAGAAAAGAAAGCAAGGAAATGTATTGTATAATTCTTTGGAAAAATGAAATATCTTCAACCCAGGGTCTTTCTGGTGCATTGGTGCATCCTGTACAGTGTCCCTTCTGGTTGCATAGTACTTGTAATTAAGTAATCTTTTTTTATCTTTTTTTTTGTCTTGAACTCACGACTGCTTGCTTGCAAGGCAGGCGCTTATGCCGCTGAGCTAAATCCCCGGACCTTATTGAGTAATCTTGATACTGCTCTAGTATAAATACTTCTGAATGAAATAAAAATGAAGAACTTTTTGAAAATATATAATCATGTTCTTGAACATCTTTATTTCTCTCTTGTCACTTCATACTCCCTTGTATTTAATTTTAGTTCATGGTTATTTTGCTTATACCTTTTTCGAGTAACTCCTATGGTAAGAATAAAGCCCTCAGTAAAAACAAAAAGGCACTGAAACACAGTAAGAGTACATCTTCATGTGATGAAAAATGTCTAAAGAATTTGATAGATCCCAGCACTAAATGTAGGGGTGGGAATGCAGCACCGAGGTAGACCTGGAATGCACAGAGCCTGGGCTCAATCTCAGGTTGGAAAAGAAGAAAAGCAGTGAAACATCATAGATCCTCTACTCTTTGATTCAGGTGCTCTGGAGTCTAGGATTAGGATCTTGGTGCTTCAGTTCCCAGTTCAGGACCTTTTAAATACAGTTCTCATTGTTACTATAAATTAATCTTTTTCAATCCTATTATGCATTTTATGCTACTGTAGATGAAATTTTAGATAGAAAAAAATGCAAATCTTACTTGTGACTTTTATGCTGTCTTTTAAAGGATCTCTGTCACTGGGCCAGTGACAGACAAGGACATCCTTGTTTGTATGCACACGCTGGCTTTCAGGGCTCTTTTTCCTTCCGTAGGACACTTAGAACTTGATTGGTATCACTCCACTCTTGGCCTTTTCATGCGGAGAGTCTTAATTTGAGCCAAGAGTACAGTTACTCTTAAAAACAGGAACTAGCTCAGGACTGTATTCTGTTTATCTTTGAAATACCCACTCAAATATTAAACAGGTTTTTCATTAATGTTACTAAAGATTTCTATTTATTCTTGATTCCAAATTACTAAGAAAACCAGTGTGGCTGAGTTTTTAACATACTGAGTTTTTCAGCCCACAGTTTGGCTGTGATAAAGATAATGAATAATGGAATTCTTTTTCCCTGGAGTTGATCTCTCAGTAAGAACGTTAAACCATTGGAGTAAGGCTTCATCACAGCTTTCCAGTCTTCATTCTTGGCCTAGCTAAGCTCCTGTCCTAGGTGCCCTTTCCAATTCAGGATTGGTGCCATGGTGTAACCCATTGTTGTCCACCTTATGATGCCGTGCCCTGCTTGGGTATGCCCCGTGTCATCCCTGAGTTCCCCACTGAAGCCCCTTCTTTCCTTCCTGTCTTTCCCTTGACTCCGCTTTCTCCCTCATCTACCTTCCTACTCTGCATTTAGACTTTTATCGTCTATCGTATTCTCTTTAGAGTCCTTCAAACTTAGATATAGTTTGTAAAACACTTATTTACACATTCAGACTTTATCCTTGGAACAATCCAGTAGGAAAAGATTAATCCAACCTTTGAAGCTTTTTTCCCAGTAGTCAGTGCATTTTAACCCTGACTTACCAGAGACAATGCCTTTATCTTTTTTGTAGGTATAAAGGTAGGAATTTAGATCTTGCCAGTGAACAAAGTGACAGAAGACAGGGTCAGCCTTCATCCTAGAGTTAGCTGGAAATACACCCTAGGCTCTGTAAAGCACTTTGATTCATTGATCTGTTGTTGGACCTGAGTAAGTGAGTGACTGAATGTGTTAGTGACCCTTGAGGCCTATGGAATCTGAAGAATTCCCCCTCAACAAGTGTTTCCTTGTTCTTCATACTTTGAGATGCTTCTGATTCAAGTACTTTAAATATGTATTTTATGCAGATGCTTTGAGAATGCATTTTATTTTCCATAGGCTAGTAAAGAAATTAGTCATTCCTGGGGCTGGCATCAAATGAAGAAATCAGAGCCACAGAAGTCATTATCAAATTAGAGCTTTTTCCTGGACATAGTGGCACATGTTGTAATCCCAGCATTTGGGAGGCTGAGACAGGAGGATTGCGAAGTCCAGCCTGAATTACATAGTGAGGGCTCTATCTCCAAAACAAATTACAAATTTTTATTTTTAATCTGAGTTCTGGTTTAGATTGAGGCAGTTGGCAACCTCACACATGGATTTAGAAAAGAGGCTCTGGAAGAGTTGTGATTTGAAGAAAAATAGACTCTGAGGTGGGGGAAAATTGAGGTCATGGCACAGAAGCGTCTATCTGAGTAATATATATCAGAAGAACATGAGGTTTTTTAATGGAGGTGGTGCACAAAGTGTGCTTTATTTTCAAAGCTGGTAGATTGGTGCAGATTCATTATTAGAAAAACTGTAAGGTTTTATTCAGGAACATTACCCTGTCTTAAACCTGGTTACATTTTGCTATCCTTGCTGGGCCTTTACCAGTGTCACCAGCTTCTCCACCAGCAGGTTCCTAGTAAAACAAATTATGAGAAGCAGTAGATGTGTTCTAGTCTTTGGGGATCAGTCCTGTCCAAATGTAGAATGATTTTAGTTTTCCAAGCTAACATTTTTCAACCCTGAAATGATACCTCTTAAGCGCATTTGGCTTCCCCACTGTGAAATGTTGCATGCTGATAAGCCATTCATGCCTAGCCCCTCATGTCATCACCAAAACTGTGTCTTGATTATATCTAGGAACTAAGAGAAATTCATAATAAGCAGCAACTCCAGAAGCAAAAGTCTATAGAAACTGAACGATTGAAACAGAAAGAACAAGAGCGAAAGATCCTAGAATTAGAAAAGCAAAAAGAAGAAGCCCAAAGGTAAGTCTTGTCGAGTTGATCTGGCCCCATCTGGCAGAAGACATGGCACAGATGAGAGCCGGCCTCCTCATGACAACCAGAGTATTTGCTTTTTGCCTGGCTTTTGCAAGTGTTAAGTGTAGCAGGAAAAGGCCTCGGTCGTTAAAGTATGTATTTGGGCAGGCACAAACACATGTGCCCACAAATCTTTGCATATATAAATATGCCCCTGAAGTTTCTGGTTAGTTCCCAGAGCTCTTCTATGTCGATAAATGGAATTATACAAGGAAATGGGGACACTTGGTTGGCTCATTTGCATACTAATGACCAAAATACACTTCCAGTTCACAGCCTTTTAACAACGTGAGGGTCAAAGTGCCTGGTTTGAAATCAAAGCCTCTGAGCTGCCTAGCCATGCAGATTGTCTTCACTGGACTGAGGTTGTGTCTTTGTGTCGTTCGTCTTTTTTCTTTTCTTTTTTTCTGTGACGGCAAATTAAACTCCAATACAAAAGAAGAGGATGCAAACTGCTGCTGAGGATATAAACATTTGTGTCTGGTTTGGTTGGGGTGTTTATGTTGGTGACTTTTTTATTTGTCTTTGCAATATTTTCTTGTGAATTGTAAAAATTTTGTTCCTTTTCAGTGTGTCTGGTTTTGTATTTGCTATATGCTTTCCAAACTTCAGTTAATTTTAGAGTTTAAGAAACAAAAATGGCCAGGCATGGCAGCACACTTCAGTAATACCAGCACTTGGGAGGCTGAGGCAGGAGGATCGTTGCAAGTTCAAGACCAGCCTGGGCTACAAAGTGAGTTCAAGACCAGCCTGAAATGCATAACAAGACCCTGTCTCAAAAAGACAAAGAAAAAAAAAAAAAAAAAGACCAAGAACCTCAGTGATATGCTACACTCAGTGATATGCTATAAAAACGTGGTTATTGAAATGAGACTTCTTCAGACTGAAGAAATGAAGACACGAATTCTTTGAGGCTAGTCATTGACTTTAGGAGCTGAGTTCAGTTAAGTTTCTCAAAAATTTTGAATGCTGTCTTAGTTATATATAATCTGAACCCTGTTTGTGTTTGTTTCTTTATATTTTTGTATTATAGTGATAGTGCAATTTAGAGGGCTATTTTTGTTTTTCTTGGGGGTAGAACTAAAATCCTCCTTGGATGTTTTGATAATAATTCTTACTCAACCTGTAAAGTTTATAATGTGCTTTCCTGCCAGGCCTGGTAGTACATGCCTATAATTCCAGCACTTGGGAGGCAGAAGCAGGAAGATTGCCATGGTTTTAAGGCCATTCTGGGCTACATAGTGAATTTAAACTCAGCCTGAACTGCACAGTGATATCCTGTCTCAAAAAATAAAAAAGCTTTCTTCAACACTAATTAGATTATGTTATCATAGAGACTAGTGATCTAGGGGTAGAAAATTTAAATCACTCTTTTTTAATATTAAAAAGAACTCAGTATGGGGCCAGGGATTTGGCTCAGTGGTGTAAGTTCCTTCCTGACAACCTTCCTGACAAGTGTGAGATCGTAAGTTCCATCCCTGGTACCAAAAACAAACAAACAAAAAAAAAGCAAAAAAGAATCCAGTATGAAATCTTCGCATTCATAGAGTAGAAATAAATATTTTTTAGCAATGGAGAATAAAAGTGTACTTTGTCTTACATTCCTGTGACAGTTCCTTGTTTTATTGCTATATTTTAGATATACATAGTGATCACATTCGTAAGATTCAGATGGCCTGTATGTGGTCTATCTTGCTGCTGCTTTTTTCCCATTTCCCTCCCCTCTCTTTAGCTCCTCTTCCCCTTTGTTTCAAAAGCTGTTTCTCTTTTTTCCATTTTTTTCTTGTCCCTTCTTTCCTCTCCACTTTGTTTTTCTATAGTGTTTCTGTTTTAATATTTAGATCTTTGATCAACTTCAATTTTAGGGTAGTGCACAGTGAAAGGTGTGTGTCTGGTTTTAATCTTTGGCATATGGAAAGCCAATTTTTCAACACTATTTATTAAAGAGGCTGTCTTTGTTCCAGTGAAAGTGTTTGGCTTCTTTGTCAAAGATAAGATGACTGAGAGGTGACTGAGTGTATCTAGAGTTGTTTCTGGATCTTCTAACCTATTCCGCTAATTCTTGAGTCTTTTTTTTTTTTTTTTTCCAGTACCATGCTGTCTTCATTTTCATTTTTATTTTTTTGGTACCGGGCATTGAACTCACGACTGCGCACTTGCAAGACAATGCTTATGCCACAGAGCTAAATCCCCGGCCCACTATGCTGTTTTTAGAAGAGACTTTGGTGTAGACAAAGACTTTATGAACAAAACCCCGATTGCACAGGAATTATCACCAAAAGTTAACAACTAGGACCCCATCTTACTGAAAAGCTTTTACACAACAAGACAAACCACCAGCGGAGTGAAGAGGCAACATACAGTGTGGGAAAAAAGTTTTGCCAGGTGTTCCTCAGACAAAGCATTAATATCTAGAATATATAAAGAACTCAAAAAACTACTAGGACCCCCCCCCCCATTTAAAGTCCCAGTCCAAATATGGGCATCTGAAATGAACATTTCTCAGATGAAGAAATAGAAATGGCAAAGAAATACATGAAAAAACGTTCAGCATCACTAGTCATTCAGCAGATGCAAATTAAAGTAGCACTGAGATTCCACCTCACTCCAGAAAACATGCCTGTTACCAAGAAATCAACCAATAACAAATGCTGGTGGAGCTGTGGAGGGAAAAGGAACCCATCTCCACTGTTGGTAGGAGTGTAAAGTATGGAAATCAGAGTGGAGATTCCTCAAAAAGCTAAAACTAAAAGTTGCATTCTACTCAGCTATTCCTGTGACAGTTTGCTAATTCCAAAAGGTGACCCTTGTGCATTGGCCGTGTCCCACGATAATAGCAGTCTAGGGTAGAGACTGTGGAACCAGGCTGCTTGGCATCGAGCCCCAAGTGTGACTGGTTGTGTGATGTGAACAAGTCCTGAGCATTTCTGCCTTAGCTTCCTTGTTTGTGCAATGGGGATAATAACAGGTCCTCCCTACTGTTTTCAGAATTAAAGCAGTAAATGTGTGGAGAGCTAGTTAGCATCGTGATATCATTTGTTATTATTCATTACATTTCATTTACAGTGTTTCTTTAAAAATTTTACTAAATATCACATAATGGGAGAAAAATTTTCCCAGTCTTTTCCTGTAAAGTTTGGGTTGGGCCATCACAATTTTCAAGACTTAGATTTATTTGCAATTATTTATTATTTCAGCTATTTTGGAAAGAAAAACAACAAAAGTAACTGAGGTCAGTGAGATACTCTTTTGCTTTCAGTTTCAGGTTTAGTACTAAAACCTGTGTGTATAAGTATGATAAATCCTTTACTAGGGAGGGACTTAATGATCTGACTGAATATGGGCTCACTTAAACAGTATTTCAGTTACAGCTTTTGGGGTACAATTTATCTTCATAAAAGTTATGTTCTTTTGTGTTCTATGGCCTTTTAAAGCTTTGTTTATTGTAGTTTAATACCTGTTTCCACATTGAGAGAATGTGTTAGTGAGGTTTTTGTTGCTATGACCAAATATCTAGGAAAAACAAAGGCAAAAAGGTAGGCTGGGGATTTAGTTTAGTCACGTAAGCAAATTCAATCCCCGGTACCAAAAAAAAAAAAGAAAAAAAAGGAGGTAGGCTGAGGGTCTAGCTCAGCGGCACAAGCGCCTGTCTGGCAAGCACAAGGTCATGAGTTTGACCCTTGGTACCAAAAAAAAAGCGAGGGGGGGGGGGTTATTTTGGCTCACAGTTTCAGAGGTTTCAGCCCACAGTTGGCTGGCTCCAAGACAAAGCATCATGGTGGAAGGGCGTGGCACTGTCACTGATGAAAGCTGTCTTCCTCCGTGACATCCAGAAGCTGAGAGCTCACAGAGAAGCAGAGAAAAGACAGCACTCAGCCACGCCCCTAGTGACTGCTTCCTCCAGTGGGGTCCCACCTCCTACGAAGGATACAGCTCGTTCCTCACAAATGGATTAACCCACTGAGGAGGATGGTGCCAGTGGGGCTGGGGATGCAACTCAGTGGTGAAAAATCAGAAAAGAAGAGTATAGTGCCTTTATGACCCAATCACTTTCTGAAAGCCCCACCTCTGAATACCTGAGACTTTGGGCAGATGTTTTAGATCGAAACTATAAGTGTTTTCTTGTTCTTGTAAGCATTTCATGAAACACATCCCACGTTTCCTTTCTGAGTTTTTCTAAATCGCTTGATTCTTGTCTCAGAGCCCTAAATGCTTTTGTTTCACTGGTGCAGTTGCTCTCTCTGAAGAATAGTATTGATGTTTAGCAGCGCATTGACTAGATGGAGCCTCTTGGTGAAAGGACGCAGTGGTAATGTTAAATTGGAGCTGCTTCCTTGCTGTAATCAAGCATCTTTGTTGGCAGACGAGCCCAGGAAAGGGACAAACAGTGGTTGGACCATGTGCAGCAAGAAGATGATCATCAGCGGCCAAGAAAACTCCATGAGGAGGACAAGCTAAAAAGGGAAGAGAGTGTCAAAAAGAAGGATGGTGAGGATAAAGGCAAACCGGAAATGCAAGAGAAGCTGAGTCGGCTTTTTCATCCACACCAAGAATCTGCTAAGCCAGCTGTGCAGGCGCCCTGGTCCACTGCAGGTACTGGAAGTTAAAAATGTAAATTACAGGGGCTGGGGATGTGGCTCAGTGGTAGAGCACTTAGCCTAGCAGATGTGATGCCCTGGATTCCATCTGCAGGACCACAAAAACAATATACAGTTGTAGAAAATAAGTGTCTCCCCAAGCCTCTTGAGAATGTCTGTGTCTGATCAGGCCCTATCTTGGGTATGTGCAGACATACAAGGACATGTGTTCTCTTGCCTCGGGCAAGTAGCTCTTGGTTCCCTATAACCATTAGCGATCTGTTTACGTGGATCCCACTCCAGTGACCTTGGGGATTCCTCTATAGACTTAACCAAAGCGGTGTGAAGTTCAGCTAGAAAACCCCATTCAGACAGTTGTACTACAAGTGTTGGTCTTAACCTATCTTGGAAAAAGAATTTATTTCTCCCAGTTCTGAGCTGCTTCTGTGGCAGAAATGTATCGCAGGCATCTTTCCCTGCTGCCTATAGCAGGGTAGGACACGTTGTCTTGTATTTGGCCCTTTAAAAACTGTGACTGTTTTTTACTCTTTGAACATATTTTGTTTTGTTTAAGACAGGGTCTCTGGAGATCAGAGACCTATAGCTCACAATGCTCCTGCCTCAAGCCTCCTCGATGCTAAGATTAGTGGTATGTGCCACCACAACTGGGCATAATTTGCCTCTAAAAAAAAAACAAGGGTAGAAAATGAGCCCTTGGGTTATATCAGAGGCAAGCTAAAATGTATTTTCAAAATCATGGATGGTTGGTTGGTTTTATAAATATCCTACAGAGAAAAATGAGCCCAAGGATGGACTCTAGGTGGAAAGTTTCAATTTTAAATGAAGCAAAAAAAATTTTTAAAACGCATATAAGCAAAGGTCCGTATTTTGGGTAAGAGTCACTAATCATGGTACTCTGAATGGATGGTTATATAACATTATGCAGCTTCGTAAATAATGGTCACCTGAAGAAAGTGATGGTTTTCTCTTTGTTTAGTAAATAGTATGTATGCATGTATCTCTAGTCCTTTGGTCACCAATGTGTCCTATTGTCACTATGGTACACAGAAAGGAACAATTTCAGCCATCCCACACTTGCTTCCTGTCTGCACGGTGGATGTGGGTGGGAGTGAGGATACGGAGTCAAGTCAGGTCCCGCCCCTGCTTATGATGCATGTGACCCAGGGGAAGGACTGACAGACTGACACAGACGGGGTGAATTTATTTAGTTATTACTTATAGTTGTTTAGAATCTGAAAAGAATTTCACCATTTGACTATAAGCAGTTAGATGAAGTTCCTTGTTCCTTCCTCTAGTTTAAAGTAAGGATTTGTTTTTCTCCTTCCTTTGGTGGGAAATTTTGCATACCATATAGCTCAACACCATATGGAGATAATGATTCTTACTGCATTTCAGATAAGATTTGTATCAAATGCTTACAGCTTTTGGATTACAGATTTCAGAGTACCATGATTAGTGACTCTTACTCAAAATACGGACCTTTGCTTATATGCGTTTTAAAAATTTTTTTTACTTCATTTAAAATTGAAACTTTCCACCTAGAGTCCATCCTTGAGCTCATTTTTCTCTGTAGGATATTTATAAAAGACTTCCCTGGGCGTTATCAGTGTAACTCTTCTTGGTGAAATCAGTGCTTTTATATGATCATAATTAAGTGCCTAAAACATCAACATTTCTACATCTGCGGGTGTGGAAAGTTGTGTTTCTCTGCCCCTCCCCAATGAGAATTCTCCCTGGCTGATTCAAAGCTGGAGTCATAGCCTAACAACACCCTGGGGAGGGAGGAGGTGACAACTGATGCTTTACAGATGTGGGCCCTGGAGTCCAGGCCAAGAACAGAGGGCAAGAAGGGCCCTGTCTGCCACCTTGCTGCACCTAGCACTGGAACGACCTCTGTGAGGAAGGTCCTCTGGTGAACCCTGGAAGAGTCAAATTGCTAATGTCAGGTTTTGCTCTTCTTTGGCTCTCGACATGTTTCAGAAATTCCTTGAGTGTCTGGAAATAGTTTAAACGTTGATCTAAGGCAGGCAGCAGAGAAGATGTTAGGTGTTTGGCTTGCTGTTTAGCTTGTTTGGTGTTTCCTGTAATTATTCTTTTTTTCTTTCTCTGCCCATTTTTATAAACAGAAAAAGGCCCTCTTACAATTTCTACACAGGAGAATGTAAAAGTGGTATATTACCGAGCTCTATACCCCTTTGAATCCAGAAGTCATGATGAAATCACCATCCAGCCCGGAGATATAGTCATGGTAAGAAAGACTCCAGTGAGAGCTGATGATGAATTAACATCTTTCTTCTTTCTGCTGAACGGAAATTTCTCAATGGCTATCAGATCTGTAATCCAGCATCTAGGTTTTTGATATATAATGTTAATTTTCCTTTTTTTTATTGGAACAAAAATAGTATTTAAAAAATTTATCCTAACATCACTTAAGATAGTTGTTGAAGACTTTGCATCTTTGTGTCTTTGTCATAGCCATAGCTTGGGGGGGGGGGGTGGGAGGAAGAGAGAGAGAGAGAGAGAGAGAGAGAAAGATACTGGGAATTTAACCTAGGGCCTTGTGAATGCTAAGCAAATGTTGTACTGCTGAGTTATAGCCCCGTCTATTGCAGTTTTTTATTTTGAGACCCAGCCTTGCTAAGTTACCCAGGCTAGCCTCAAACTTGATATCTTCCTGTCTCAGCTGCATAAGTATTGGGGTTACAGGTATGTGCCACATACCATATTTTCAGATTTATGAGTGTCCAGTGATTTCTGAGTTTAGATGACTATCTCCTGTGAGTAATCTTTTAAAAATAGTTTTAAATTTAAAGTACTGTTATCTATAATTGCCAATAATAGCTTTTTAATCTTTGGGTCAGAGGATCTTTTTTCTCCTTTAATTGTGTGAACTTCAAATTAGATAATAAGTGAATTAAATTCAGTGAATCTACTACTTTGGAAATGAACAGACACACTTAGGATTTTGCCTTATGTTCTTTAATAAAAAATAATCTTATGGTTTAACTAAAATTATAGAACCAATTTGAGAAAGAAAATAAAGCAATGTGGTAAATAATCACTAAGTTATTTGCTGAAAAAGAGCAGTAGTTTATTGAGCTAGTGATTCATTCAAGAATAAATCTTATAGGTGGTCAGGCTACATTATTCTCAGAATTTGTTTAAAAATGGAAACAATTGAGAATTTTTAAAAAGCTACGAAAGTTACACATGTTTTTCATGCTAGGCTATGAAAATGTTACACATAATCTGTTTTAATGAAAAATTATTGCTCTTTTGCAGAAAGATAATTTGGGGCTAGAGCTGTAATCCTAGTTCTATTATAGTGGTATTGAATCCTTTTCTTGGAATTGGCCAAGTAACCCTAGCTTGATTAGATGAGTATAGTTCAGATATGCTATAAGAATCAAACATTTCATTAAACATATATTTTGCCTTGCTTTCAAACTTTTGCTTTCCTGGTGGAGGTTAAAGGGGAATGGGTAAGTGTTGTCTAACTGTCAGGAAGTCTGCATTTTATTCACTGTTCTGTTCTTTTAACTTACTTTAATTCTGTGTAAGTATGCATATCTTTGGGTGTTGTCATGACAATACAAATATGTTTTAAGTTTGTCTAGTAAGCTGTGCTTAAAAAGAGAGTGTAAATTGTTTGAGTTTGTGTGCTGGTTTCCAGGTCTCACTTGATGACTAATTTGAAGGCCCTGGTTTTGGCAAGTCTCTGCGTTAGGCCACGAAGTTCCAAGTAGGTTAAACTTACAAGATAATGTTCCGAAACTGTTTCTTTAGGAGGAAACTATTGGTAGTTTCCTGGCTAAGAAAGCCTTTCTAAGCTATGAAAACCAGAAGTTGTTAAAGGCGCAGTAGACAAATTGCATACTACAAGAACATTAAAATTTCTGTATTTTTCTCTATATCAAGAGACCAGGGGTTACTATTCAGATTAAAGACTCCAAACATCTATTATGAAAGACACCACAGGCCTTACACAAGTCAGGGAGATAGAGATGACATTCACGGATAAAAGAGCAGGTGATTTAAAAACATGCTAACTTCATAGATGATCAAGAAAATAAAAGTTAAAAAATAAGACAGCACAGTTTCTCTAAAATGAGCAAATTTAAAAGTTTGGTGCTATGTATAGCTTTGTCAAGGGTACAAGAGAGTGGATATAATATACATCAGCGAAGGTGTATAAATGGCTTAAGCACTGTGGCAATACCTATTCAGATATAAAATTTTCATTCCTCTCGGTGCGGCAATACCTATTCAGATACAAAAATTTCATTCCTCTCAGTGCAAAAATTATGTTTTTCACCTTCCTTTAGGCTTTTTTAAGGCATATGGTCAAATATATGTGTGTGTGGATGTTCACTGCAGCATTGTTAGTAAAGGGATAAGAACAACACAGTGTTCAGTAGGGAATAGTTGAAATAAATTATGCTGTAGCTATGCAAAGTAGACAGGGTGTCTTAGAAAATGTATAGATATGCAAATAGGTTCTTCATTAAAAAACAGCGGCAGTATGTGCAGTAACTGCATTCTGGTTAAAAAAAAGAGCTTCATGCGCTGTGTATGAGTGGGTGCATAATTGGCAGTCTTAAAATATATACATCAAACTGTTAGCAGTATTTACCACTGGACAGTGAAGAGGGAGGGTTTTCACATTATGTATTTCTATATTATTTCCATTTTATAAATGCATCACATTTGTAATTCTTAATAAGACACTAAAAATAAATCCAGCATCATGCAGGGAATGTCTACCCAGCACTAGAATGTTTTGTTTCCGACATCCCAAGTATGTCGTGGGATGTGAAATATACTCCTGGGCCTAATTTGGAATAAATGAGCAGCTTGCTGAAGGGACAGCAGTCACTTCATTTTGTGTGACGTCCCGAATGCCATTCAGCTGTGTTGTGACGGAGCAACCAGTGCAGGACAGATGGAGCTGACATGTGATAGTGAGGTTGACGTCTGCTTTCTTTCTTTGTTTTTTCTCTTCCTGTAGAGTTTATAGTTAAGAAACATGAGTCCAAAAAATATGTAGTAGAAAATTCCTGTCAATCTTTTTTGGTCAAATAATGCAGGGGTTACTTTCACTTTTGTGGGCATAGTAATCCTCATTCTCAGATTTGTCAGTCTTCTTTGAAAAACAGCAAACTATACGTGTTAAATTTCGTGAGCATGACATCTTTCCTTTTTTTTTTTAAATGTAGATAGTCTTAGGAGGCACTTTGAAATTATTTTGCATTTAGAAAACCTGAATCATCGACCCAATTTTCTCAAAAAAATATGTATTTTTGATAGTTAACAAAACTTTAATGTGGTATCTTGTATATAGTCCTGTTCCAAATGTTATTTGGTAATACAAAAATCAGAAACACACGGGAAAAAAAATGATGGAGTTCTTAAAAATATTCGTTAACTCTTCTAGCAGTTTAAAAGAAGAGTGGAACCTGTGAGCTGTTGCGCTCAGGGAAGATTTCTTACTCGAGGCTTCTTAGGTGACTTTGATGTTGATGGCTGAGACTTAGATACTTTGAAAATAAATGACCTCTCTTCTGATCTGGAGGTCTCAGTATCGGAAGGATACATAAAACTCATTTGACCTCTAACATGTACATATTGCAAAGCCATAAGAAATGAGAAGACCTGTTGACTGCCATTTTGTTGAGCTTATGACCACTGGTCGGTCATCTGTATGCACATCCCAGGACTGGTATAGGACTGGGTGCATCAGAATTTGCTTAGGGAACTGCAAGAAAATAACCACAGGGTTCACATGCAGAGCTTCTGGGAACCTGTAATCCACATATGATACTGAGAATTCTAAGTTTTTCCGGGGATAAGTTTCAGAAACCACTGATTTAACCTCATCTCTTTTTCCTGCCAGGACTAATCTTCTATCAGTTTTGAAAAATATCCTCTTAAAAATATCCAAAGAAAAAAGCATTCTCTTTAGTTGTTGTCAGCCACCAATCAGTTCATTCTTTTTAGAGTAACTCTTACAGCACCTGTGTTGTTTTCTTTGCTTTTGTTTTTCCTTTTCCCTGACTGGGGAGAGCACATCTTTAAGCCGAGCTTTTCTCTCTACCTTTCTTTGATTACCAGAAATTTAACATCTGAACTCAGCTTGTTTATTAATAATTGGCAAAATATTGCTGCTATTTTGAGAAACCAGTATACACACACATACAGTGACAGGTATGGGCCAGATCTGGCCACCTGCCTGTTTGCAGTGAAGTTTTTTGGGAACATAGCCAGGCTCACACATTTATATGTCATTGATAGCTGCTTTGGTGCTACAGCAGCAGGCTTCAGTAGTTGAACCAGATGGAGAGTCTCCTGGCCTCTGGTTAGAGCTTCAAAGAAGAGTTTGTACATTCTCATGTAAGAATTTGTGGGGAACTTATGCTCAAAAGCTGATGAATCCATGAAATGTGCTGTTATCTCTATTCTTCAACATAGCCCTGGCAGCTGCTACCAACTGGTCTCATTGGGCACACGGTGTATACCTGTTTCCTGTCTCTATTCTTCATGGTCTATGCAGGAAGTGAGAATTTTTTCCCCTAGTATGTTAAACAGCTTTCTGTACCATAACAAAGACCTAAGATAATTGACTTACAAAAAGAAAAGATTTTCTTTGATTCATAGTTTCAGAGGTTTCAGTCCCATGATTGGTGGCTCTGTTATTTTGGATAAAGAAGCACACTGTGGCAGGGGCACATCCATGGTGGATCAAAACCACTGACCTCAGGGACAGAACTGGAGAAAAGAAGGGCCCAGAGCTCCACAGTCCCCTTCCAGGAGAGGCCCGCAGTGACAGTAAAGACCTCCCTCCAGGACTTACCAAGGCTCCGCCACCTCCCAGCAGCACTCGCTGGTGAGCACGCCTTTACCACATGGCTCCTCAGGGACATTCCAGATCCAAACTACAGTTCTGAGCGTAGTTGTGCACACCTGTAATCCCAGCACTTGAGAGGCCAAAGCAGGAGGATCATGAGTTTGAGGCTACCTTGACCCACATAGCAAGACCTCATGCAAAAACAAAAAGTACTATGTACTGAAAATGGTAGCCATTGAGTATGTAATCACTGAGAAAGGAGGCATAATATTATCAAGCTTCAGCTAAATGGACTTGTAACTGCAACTGCTGCTATGTGCCATCTGTTATTGCCTCAGTGACCTACAGTCCACATGTATAATTACTAACATTTTGTACACTAGCTCTTTAACATAATCTCAGCAATAATTGTATTTTACTTTGATGATATTTACTAGAATTATCCCTAAGTACATTGGGCTGTTGCATGTATTAAGACCAAAATTATTAATAAAATACCTCACAGCCACCAGTGGATGAATGTCCTTTATGTGAAAGTTCACATTATAGTCTGCCATGTTGCACAGAAGTGTGTATGCTCAACCTTTTGGTCTATCACAGTCTTAGACTTTTCCAAAATTAGATTTGCATTTTGGGTACAATTTCCCAGATCTTTGAAGAAACGCTTCTCATTTTCATATGTTGACCCTCATGCTTTTTCTCTCAGTAGTTCATTGAATTTAGGTGTTAAAAGGGATTTTTTTTTTTTTTTTTGTACCGGGGATCGAACTCACGACGTTGTACTTGCCCAGGGCAGGTGCTTATGCCGTTAAGCTAAATCCCTGACCCCACAGTTTCTCTGATGATCTCTCTATTTTTGTGCCAGCAATCGAACTCAGAGCCTCACGCTTGCCAGGCAGGCACTGTACAACTGAACTATATCCTGGCTTAAGAGGAATTTTAAAAATCATCTCCAAACCTTAAAATGTGATGATTAAATAGAACCCAATAAGAATAAATCTAATTGTAATTTAATTAAGACTGTTGTTTGTGCTGTAGTTGAGACCAGTGAATTTCCTTGGTTAAAACTGAAATCCATACTGATTTGATTATTGCCATTAGAGATGAGACAACTACAGTTCCCCTATTCCTACATACATAGGACAGTTACCTATTCGAGAACAGCTGGGGCAGGATTCCTCACCAAGGATGAGATTTTCTCTGGGATTAAAACCCAAGCCCAGATCTCCATGGCAAGTCTTTTTTTTTTTTTTTTAATTTTATTTAAAAGGAAAAAGAGAAAAAACAAAACAAAACAAAGCAGTGTAAGGGTACAAGTAATACAGAACTACAAAAAAAAAAAAAAAAACAGTAAGAAATTACCGGTTAATAGATTACATATTATCATCTTAGAGATAGTTGCTCAAATCACAGTATCAAAGCATACAAAGTGGACACTCAAATAGTGAGACTGCAAACAGTTGTGTTCAATGATCCAACCAAAAACATTAATATGGTCAGCTATTTAACACCCCTAAACACTCTTGCTGTTGTATCATTTAGAACTCTTTTTTTTTTCCCTCTCTTTTTTACAACAAAATTTACACATTTTGGGTTTTATTACTCCTTAGTTCTTATTACTTTTTTTGGGGGGGGGGA